ACCAGTTAATGCTTTATTTTTGCATGTTTACTGTTCCTTCACCACCTACATACTAAGTATGTTTAGGGTTTTTTCCTTTGCACTACCTACTTGGAGAGGTCATGTCATATGAGGTCAGTCTGTTCTGTCCTTAATTAGATAGTTTAGTGATTTCCCTGTTATTTTATGTTGTAAATTTATGTTGCATGTAGCACCTTGGTCCTGGAGGAACGTTGTTTCGCCTCACTGTGTACAAACCGTATATGGCTGAAGTGACAATAAAGTCCAATTGATTGAAGTGTAATGTTTATCAGTACATTACAGAAATTAATTAACTTTATCACAATATGCAATTTTTTTGAGAAGGACCTGTATCTAAAACATAATAATAGTAAAAAAGCTGTTTCCTCTTTAAGAAATACAACAGCTTAAGTACTTTAAGCTGTTCTCGGCAACACTTTGATTTGTGTCATAAATGTATATTAAATCACCGTTTCTAATATTTCAGAGGTTCAGCAAGTAACAACAAATGCTTTCAGGAGGGATTTCTCGCAGGTTTGGATACTTTTCTGTCTTTCTCTTGTCGTGACGTGTGTGCAGCATGATTTTCTCTGTGATAACGTCCGTGTCGGTCCTGATGGGGCTTCATCGCCGTGGGGAGCTTGTGACACGGTGACACAAGTCTGCAGGTAGAAGCCCTCACTGAAAGGAACAAAGAGGGCCGAGCCGTAAAGGAGGCAGGTGGAAGGAAAATAAAGTGATGTTCTGGTCGTTTATCTCAGCAGTAGCACCAGGTTCCTGTATGTTTTCCTCTTCGTTTCTGTCCTGCTCATCTCCAGCAGGTGTTCTTTAAACCTTTTCACCTTTTCAGAAACTATGAAGCTGCAGTCTTTTCAAAAGGGTCCTTTTTCATCTCCACACTTCGCACATGTTATTAAAACCTGATAGAAAGAAGAGTAGGCGTGTTCTGCTTGCTCCTAATTGCATTACATCCACACTTGTCCCCCCAACCCCTTCAGATAAACACACGTTGAGTGCGATGCTGGGTGGCAGGAAAAGGCAAGCGGTGAGACTTAGGGTGAGAGACGTGGATTCACGCTCCGTGTTCGCCTGCTGCTCTCCTCTCAGCTCCCGCCGGATCATCCACACCGTTTTCTGTTACCTAGACATCTTCCTCGCCTCCTCTGTGACTCGCTGCAGGAGTCTCACTCCCTTTCCTCCTCACTGCTATCGTCCCCCATGGTTTTTTACAACTTCTTCAGTCAACATCCCACTTTCTTTGCACCCCACAGTCCTCACTTTTTTCAGTACCGAGTGTTTTTGAAACGATAATTTCCTCTGATGATTACAAAGAGAGCATTTGACAGTCCAAAGTCTGAGTTTCCTTCTTTCTCCAGAATCCGTCCGATGCACTTTGAAGGAGTCAAGTTGTTGTTCTGATCATCATCATCTCTAACTGAATCTGTTACCATTAGACCCGAACGTTTCTCCTTCTGAGGCCCGTGGACTGGCTTGCTAACCCAATGGAAAACCCACGGGTGCTGTTAAAGATGGCCGACCCCCTTCAGGAGGCCCAAACACACAGATTTCATTCTGAAGATTCATTGGTCTAATCCCATCACGCACTCGGACGTTAACTCATGCACACACACTTAGGCAACCATCAACGCGCTGCTCTAATTGAAAATCCCTCGTTATTGTGTGTGTGTGTGTGTGTGTGTGTGTGTGTCTGTGTGTGTGTCCTTTTATCAATGAGTTTATTTCTACCAATTTCACTCACTCCGCTCTTCTGATTCTCAGAGAATCTTTTTGAACTCGTTGACATAATAAAACGTGTAAAACAACAAAAGATGTTTTGTCGAGTTTTAAATTATTTATTTCTATTATTATTGGCGATTGCACCCTCAGGCCAAAAGCGTAACGGCAACTTCAATAGTAGACTCGTGCACGAGGCGCGCATGCTGTACGTGCATGCTGAGACAGTCCCGTGTGTGTGTGTGTGTGTGTGCGTCCGTCCGTCCGTCCGTCCCAGAGGACAGGAGAACATGCAGCTAATTAATTAAATAATTTGGTTCTGTACCTTTCTCTTCAGCACAGCCGACAAAGGTTTATGATGGGTCAGTCCTCCTGCATGCTCAGATCATTCCCTTCCCTTGCTTGAAAAATTATTCCAAAATGAAAGTTGAACCCACATCTTTTTTTATCTGTGAATTCAATGCCGTTCGGTGAGTCTCCAATAAAAATTCGGGCATCTTACTGTAAAATAATATACCATTAATGTAAAAAAGAAACTCTAAATAAACTATGTTCACACCATCGACATATAAATATTGGACAATGGGTTTCCATAGGCTCCAATAACACGTTTTTGAGGGTAAATGGGAGGTGGCCACCACCGCCATTTTGACCGTGTCACAGATTCCGTCAAGCCCAGACAATTCCACAAAAGGCAAGAGAGGTGGAGCTGAGGGTGGGGCTGTAAGGCTGGGATCGACTGACGACACCCGGTCGAACTAGCTACAAGCTAACCTGAAGCTAACCCAAAGCTAACGCGGAGGTGGGAGCTAAGCTAACGGAGGTAGCAACCTAGCTACAACCGGAGTTAACTGTGCACAACACCAGAGCTTCTGAGTCAGAGATACGCCGGGCTGACCGCTGGGTAAAACCGGGTGGAACACAGAGGTCTCCGAGAGCTCCACAAGCCGGCAGCCGCACAGCAGACAAGTGCCGCTGCAATCTGAGATGCGCAGAGCTGCCGCTGGGGAGACCCGGGTGGAAAGGTTTCCATCCCAGATCCACAAGCCGGTAGCCGCACAGGACACAGAAGCCGCGATCAGACAGAGATGGACCGGTCTGCGGGGAGGGGAGAACCGGGTAGAAAACATCGGTCTCCTGAGAGCTCCACAAGCCGATAGTCGGAACCCAGCTCCACCAACATGTTATATTTCAACCCATTTTCTAAAGTGCAGCATTATGTTAAATGCACTGGGTTTTACCCTATTACATTTAAATTTGATGGTTAAACAGTACATGTTAAAATCTAAGCTCAGCTGGGCAGTGACCTAAAATACATAAATATAATTTTACTTACCGAAAAAATGAAATGGAGACTCCTTGGACGCTCTATTAGTGCAATTAATGCCACAGCAAGTCATTTTGTCCAACAATTGCACAAATAATATGCAAAACAGAATACACAAACGCTACAACTAATGGTCTAAGTTGAGCGACTGAAAATGACTGAACAGTTTCCAGGCCAGACCGAGGCTCTACTGAGGTCTTTCCACGGAGCTAGCTCTGTGGTCACGTGGGTCTGATGCTCATTAATAATACAGAATTTTAGGCTTTTAATACACTTAAACAGAAGAGTGAGAAAAAAATTCACCCCCTCAGAGTTGTCATGAGTGTAAACTAGATCTATTAACTCATTCACTGCCAATGACGACTAAAGTGCATTTTTTACTGTTTGAAAATCGGAACAAGCCCCCGCGCTGACAGAACAAACATCTCAGCCCTGAAGCCAATCTTCGTCCGCGTACGTCACACGTTACGTGATCAGGAAGCAGAACATCAATGTGTTAGGAGATCGTTTTGGGCCGTTCCTGTAAAAAAAGTGAGGCGCGAACCGGAAAAGCGTCTGCCGATCACAATTCGACAACGGATTATGAAAGAACGGATAATGCTGAAAACACGCGGATTCTTCCTGATGTAAGAGGTGAGTCTCTGCTTTGTTTTGATTGTTTTGGTTGTTTTGGCGTCGACATCATCCTAGCGCGCAACGTTCTGTGACTCTTAAAAAAACAGTAAAAACGGTGAGAAACGCTGGCAGCGAATGAGTTAAACCTAAAACATGTTTTGGTACCAGGCTGTAAACATGTTTATTTCTGCTGTGAAATTGGCATTTTTAACATGGGAGTCAATGAGGATTTACTCGCTTCTGACACCAGCCCCTAGTGGATGAGGGTGGAACTGCAATTTATTTCACTTCCGGGATTGCTTCAATTTTTCACCCGCATTGTGGGGGCTTGGTTCACACCCAGAATCGAACCCAGGTCTTCTGCATGAGTCAGACATCTTACTAGGTGAGCTACACACCAGTATCATTCAAACTATCTAACATTTATATCCTTGATGACAGCTGAAACAACGTCAAACCAAAGAACGGTTCGGAGCAAAAATGGCTATTTTGTTGCTAATTTGCAGGAAATATCTAGAAGAAAGTTCTACAGAAAGTAGCTAAGGGTCCTCAGAAATGTAGCTAGCTTTGTCACTAGGCGTTAGGAACAGCGACAAAGTGGCACTGCCTCTCTCTCTGCTGCTAAAGCTACGGATAGCAAATGCTACGGGCGATGCCTGAGCGTGAACGAGCATGAAGCAGCCTGCTCGACCCGAGCATCTATCTTTTTCTGTGATTTGACAGAAAAACAGGCAATCACAGTAAAAATGCCAGGGCTCATTCTACAGGACCAGGGCATTGCAGGAGAATGTATGAAGAAGACATTTATTATTTCTACACATGTTTTGGCCGTCAAACTTCTTTAGAGTCCCTTTAATATTCTAATTTTCTATCATAACTTGTTTATCATAAGGTGTCCACTAGTGGTTCTTTGTTGTGTATAATAACATAAAAACTGAGGAGACTTTAAAAGTTCCACACACTCAGTCTGGGTTGTTTTGTATTTAATTTTATTCCGTTGAACATATTTCTGTATGAAGCTTCCACCTGGTGCAGCACTCAACACCAGTTTTTAGGTATTTTAAGAGGATCATTTCATTTCTATGTTTTCAGTTCCTCCTTTGGCTTTTTAGTTATTTTATTTTTCAAGCACAAAAGGAAGATTTCCTTCAGCTGTATAAAATCTCTGTTTGGGGTGAATAAAATGCTAATAAATTCATTCTGAAAAGAGCAAACTAGCTTATATATTTACCAAACCTTCCTTTACAGCTGCATGGATAAAAACGTTTTCAGTTTATTTATTTCCACGAGTATTTGTTTATTTGGCCTTGACCTTTGACCTCAGTTATGAGGAGCGAGCCCGATACCTGGAGAATATTGTGCAGCACCACCAGGAGCCGACCACCTTTGAGGATTACGCAGCTCGAGTCTACAGCCCTGCTCCCTGCACTTACCTGCCCTCCGACACAGGTAAGACAGTAAAGGTCACCCGGTTTTAACAGGTGAGTTCGTCAAACGCTCACCTTCATGTGAGGAAACAAAAAATAATGCTCTCAGTGAAGTAGTGCAGTAAGCATCGTATGTTTGGATTATTAGAAGTCAGATTAGCACACACACTTTTTCCGGCAGCTGACTCTGAGCCTGGCAGTAGCTGCTGAGCTCTGTTTTGTCTCCAGAGCTCAGCTCGGTTTATTCTTCCTCCAGAGCTTCTCTGAGGACTCAGCTGACATCTGATCAGCTGTAGAGCTGCCAGGCGTCCATATGACCCCTCATATGCATCCTGCTAAGTTCATTATGCTGATAATCATCACTTCTGCCTGAGATGTTGCGCTGAAGTGGGACTCTGTCTTTGGTCCCATATTTAATCTATTCACAAAAACTCAGTCCTGCTGCTTCACCGCTTGTTCAAATCGCTGAGAGGCTGAATTCAAAAGGACATTTCATCCATTTTGAGGTGGTTTTTCAGTGTAAATGTTGTAAATAATTCCTGTCTGCTGTAGATGGGTTCCTGAACAGCCTCTGTTCAGAGAAATAGGACTGATAAGCTAAAGGCTAGTCTGAGCAGTCAAGTCCAACGTGTGTTGCTTAATACAAATTTGTAGTTTGTAGATTTCAGCTCTAAACAATCCTTAAAAACAGTCGAGTCAATAAAAATAAATGTTATATAAATGATTTAGTCCTATTTGCTGCTTTTATTTGTTATTTACATGAAGAAATATCCAATAACTGAAATGAACCACTTCCTGTGCACCTAGGGCAGAAAATTCACAATATGTATGAAAAAAACAAGATCAAAATTTAGTTTGTCCCTTTGTGTAAAGGTTTTAACAATTAAAGTCACATGATATTTAGCTTGGCTATTCTCAGACAAGCCGTTAGCTATTTCTCTGAACTCTGGCTTTTCTATATTCATCACTTCAGTGCAGAAACACACTTAATACCTGAAAGTGGCTTTAATCTGAAGCTGTGTGATTGTGTTTCTCTAAGGATTTTCCTCAACCAGCTGCTTCTACTCATAAATAATCAACCTGCTTTAAGGCTGAATCATCTGACCTAACCTAAATGTTCTCTGCCTTCATCGTTATTATTATTAGGGTTCCAAGCCCAATGGGCATCGGACTGATGTTTTTCTACGGATTTTTCTTTATTATTTATTATTCTTCTCCGCTAAATCTATATGGGCGCAGGAGCCAGAAAATGCCAGAAAAACTCTGACATGGCAGACTGATTGAAAATCCTGGCCGCTAGACCCAGAGTCACCTAGGTGGCGCTATTGCGGAGGTGAATGCTTTTCAGCTACTAGCTCCCAAACCGTAGGGCCTACCGTCAAAAACTGTATATGTGCATGATCCTTGGATAATTCTGCATGTTTTTTTAATTGGCCACGCCCATTTCCGCCTAACTAGATTTTTTGCTAGATCGCAAAAAACGCAAAACTTAGTTTTAAACACCAATCCATCATTTTCCGTCAAATCAACTTCAGACTTCGTACATATGATCTATAGACTACGCTAAGTCGTTGTGTTGAAGAAAAATGCGGAATTATTGCAAACTGGGCTAATGACACCATGTCAAATTCATCGCGCTAGCTAGCACATGTCCTAATTGATGATATTGTCACCATTTTTCAAGATAAAATGATGAGACTCTAGACCCTTACAAAGTATGAGTGGTAAGCCTTATCTACCAAATTTTGTTTTGATTCACCAATAGGGGGCGCTAAAGAGTCAAATAAGTTTGTTTCAGCGAAACGGCTTGATGGATTTCGATGGATTTCCACAGAACTTCGCAGATATGTTTATCATCGGACCCTTAAGCTTCGTCTTCGTCTTCGTCTTCCTCCGCTTATCCGGGTCCGGGTCGCGGGGGCAGCATCCCAACTAGGGAGCTCCAGGCCGTCCTCTCCCCAGCCTTGTCCACCAGCTCCTCCGGCAGGACCCCAAGGCGTTCCCGGACCAGATTGGAGATGTAACCTCTCCAACGTGTCCTGGGTCGACCCGGGGGCCTTCTGCCGGCAGGACATGCCCGAAACACCTCCCCGGGGAGGCGTCCAGGAGGCATCCTGACCAGATGCCCAAACCACCTCAACTGGCTCCTTTCGATCCGGAGGAGCAGCGGTTCTACTCCGAGTCCCTCCCGAATGTCCGAGCTCCTCACCCTATCTCTAAGGCTGAGCCCGGCCACCCTACGGAGGAAACTCATTTCGGCCGCTTGTATCCGCGATCTCGTTCTTTCGGTCATTACCCAAAGCTCATGACCATAGGTGAGGATTGGGACGTAGATCGACCGGTAAATCGAGAGCCTGGCTTTCTGGCTCAGCTCCCTCTTCCCCACGACAGATCGGCTTAGCGTCCGCATCACTGCAGACGCCGAACCAATCCGCCAGTCGATCTCCCGATCCCTCCTACCCTCACTCGTGAACAAGACCCCGAGATACTTAAACTCCTCCACTTGAGGTAGGACCTCTCCCCCGACCCGGAGGTGGCAAGCCACCCTTTTCCGGTCGAGAACCATGGTCTCAGATTTGGAGGTGCTGATCCTCATCCCAGCCGCTTCACATTCGGCCGCGAACCTACCCAGCCAGAGCTGAAGGTCAGAGCTGGATGAAGCTAGGAGGACCACATCATCCGCAAAAAGCAGAGACGAGATTCTCCTGCCACCAAACTCGACACACTCCACACCACGGCTGCGTCTAGAAATTCTGTCCATAAAAGTGATGAACAGAACCGGTGACAAAGGGCAGCCCTGGCGGAGTCCAACCCTCACTGGGAACAGGTCCGACTTACTACCGGCTATGCGGACCAAACTCACGCTCCTCTGGTAAAGGGACTGAATGGCCCTTAACAGAAAGCCACCCACCCCATACTCCTGGAGCGTCCCCCACAGGGTGCCCCTGGGGACACGGTCATAAGCCTTCTCCAAATCCACAAAGCACATGTGGATTGGTTGGGCAAACTCCCATGTCCCCTCCATCACCCTTGCAAGGGTATAGAGCTGGTCCACAGTTCCACGGCCAGGACGAAAACCACATTGCTCCTCCTCTATCTGAGATTCAACTATCGATCGGACCCTCCTCTCCAGTACCTTGGAGTAGACCTTTCCAGGGAGGCTGAGGAGTGTGATCCCCCTATAGTTGGAACACACCCTCAGGTCACCCTTCTTAAAGATGGGGACCACCACCCCGGTCTGCCACTCCCTAGGAACTGCCCCCGATGACCACGCAATGTTGTAGAGACGTGTCAACCATGACAGCCCTACAACATCCATAGCCTTGAGATACCCAGGACGAACCTCATCCGCCCCCGGGGCTCCGCCGCTGTGTAGTTGTTTGACTACCTCAGCAACTTCTGCCCCCGAGATCGGACAGTCCATCCCCAGGCCTCCCAGCTCTGGTTCCTCCTCGGAATGCGCATTGGTGGGATTGAGGAGCTCCTCAAAGTATTCCTTCCACCGTCCGACTATAGCCTCAGTTGACGTCAGCAGCTCCCCATCCCCACTGTAAACAGTGTGAGCGAGTTGCTGCCTTCCTCTCCTGAGGCGCCGGACAGTTTGCCAGAACCTCTTTGGAGCCGATCGATAGTCTTTCTCCATGGCCTCACCAAACTCCTCCCACGCCCGAGATTTTGCCTCGGCAACTGCCACTGCTGCACCCCGCTTGGCTATCCGGTACCTGTCTGCTGCCTCCGGAGACCCACAGACCAGCCACGCCCTGTAGGCCTCCTTCTTCAGCCTGACGGCTCCCCGAACCTCTGGTGTCCACCAGCTGGTACGGGGGTTGCCACCACGACTGGCACCGGCCACCTTACGACCACAGCTAGCAACAGCCGCCTCGACAATCGCAGAGTGGAACAAGGCCCACTCGGACTCAATGTCCCCCACTGCTCTCGGGACGTGGTCAAAGCTCTGCCGGAGGTGGGAGTTGAAGACCGTCTTGACAGGTTCTTCTGCCAGGCGTTCCCAGCAGACCCTCACTATGCGTTTGGGTCTGCCAGGTCTACGCGGCATGTTCCCTTGCCATCTGATCCAACTCACCACCAGGTGGTGATCAGTTGACAGCTCCGCCCCTCTCTTCACTCGGGTGTCCAAAACATACGGCCGCAGGTCAGATGATACGACTACAAAATCTATCATCGACCTGTGACCTAGGCTGCCCTGGTACCAAGTGTACCGGTGGGCATCCTTATGTTCGAACATGGTGTTCGTTATGGCCAAACTGCGGCTTGCACAGAAGTCCAATAACAAAACACCGCTCGAGTTCTGATTAGGTGGGCCGTTCCTCCCAATCACACCCCTCCAGGTCAAGCTGTCATTGCCCACGTGAGCATTGAAGTCCCCCAGCAGGACAATGGAGTCCCCTGATGGAGCACTATCTAGCACTCGTCCCAGGGACTCCAAAAAGGGTGGGTACTCTGAACTGCTATTTGGCCCATAAGCACAAACAACAGTCAGGACCCGTTCCCCGACCCGAAGGCGCAAGGAAGCTACCCTCTTGTCCCCCGGGGTAAACCCCAACACACAGGCAGAGAGTCTCGGGGCTAACAAAAAGCCAACCCCAGCCCTCCGCCTCTCACCCGGAGCAACTCCAGCAAAGTAGAGTGTCCAACCCCTCTCCAGGTCTCGGGTTCCAGAGCCAATGCAATGTGTCGAGGTGAGTCCGACTATATCTAGCCGGTACCGCTCAACCTCTGCCACAAGCTCCGGCTCCTTCCCCGCCAGCGAGGTGACGTTCCATGTAGGGCTGCAACAACGAATCGATAAATTCGATGAAAATCGATTACTAAAAGCGTTGGCAACTAATTGCGTCATCGATTCGTTGTGTCGCACAACTCTTCCAAAAGCGCCCCCCCCCTTCCTGCCCGCCGTTGCGCGCAGACCAGAGCAAGTCAGATCAGCGCGAGGGAGAGCCGCAGATCAGCGCGAGTGAGAGCCGGCAGATCAGCGCGAGGGAGAGCCGCAGATCAGCGCGAGGGAGAGCCGCAGATCAGTGTGAGGGAGAGCCGGTACCGGCAGATCAGCGCGAGGGAGAGCCGGCAGACTTGCGCTCCTGCGAACCGGTTCCGCATTGTCGCGCAGCGATCCAGGCAGCTGCTTCCAGCACACGGTCCATTCTCAAAGTGGCGCAACCAAAAAACTATAATTAGCACACGATCGTTCATGTCCGCACATATTCTCTATTTTCTGTCTTATTTGTGCCTGAAGCTCGCTACTGTGGAGCTCATCACCTGTGCTGCGGTGATGTCACCTCACGCAGCATCGAAAACGCGCTCTGCGCTTTTCGGTCAGGAGATCCCTTTGATCTGCTCAAAAGTAACTGATGAGGTGAAAAGGTAAGAATCCAGGCAACAGATTTTCTGGAGAATTAAGAGGAGATGCAGGAAGATGAGAGACAGACAGGACAGGAAAATAGTTCAATAAAAACAAGAAAACAAAACAAAGTGTTGAAAAGTCAAATGTAGGTAGATTTATCTCCACTACACGTTTTTACCAGTAAAAAACAATAAGTTATACACGTCATATTTATACATCTGATACAATTCAGATCACCTTCAAAACTCAGTCACACACCCAGGGCCGTTTCAAGACATTTTGGGGGCCAAGGCAAAATGCCCCCCCCCCCCCATAACTGGGCTCCCCAGAAGCCTCTGTGTAATTCATGCCCTCTCCAGTAGTGTTAGTTATATGGTGTTTATAAAAGCCCCTCAGACATTACTGACATGTTCTAATATTATCAGATGAAAAACTAAATTATCAGACACGCTGTCTCATCTGCTGCTTTTATAAACCTGCTAAAAGTAACAAAACCATTTGAAAGCCACTATTTGTGGATTCTCTGAAAGTTTCCATGGAGTTTGTGACAACTTATTTTTTCATTGATCCTATCGTCTAATCTCACAGCTGAAACAAGCATCCTTAATCATCTGTGCACAGGAAGCTTACCGATGCTGTAGTAAAACAAAAGGTATAATAATTTATTATTAATAAAACCTTGTTGCAGCACTAAAGCAGAAAAATTAGATTTTGCATTAAATATGCAAAATATTTACATATGAATTGTTTTAGAGCCCTTTAATTGGCAGAATCTGATATTAATTTAGTTCTTACAAAAAATGGGTCCCAACATGGTTTGTGTGGCGTTGCCATAGTGTGACGTCATAGGCACAGATCCCCTGTCCTCTTGTTTGGAAATGGAAATATGGTCACCCTACATTAAACAAACTGTCCACCCGGGCTTTTGCGCTGCACAGAGACGCTTCGCTGCCTACGACTGAACGTCAGTTGAGAGTCAGTCTCATGCAGACTGACCAATGAAGAGAGGGCCTCAAGTTAAGACCCTCTCCTCATTGGTCAGTCCACACGAGGTGGGTCAAAGGTTACTCTGGGCGGGTTACGTGTTGTCAGGCATTCAAGTATTGAGTATATTTACTGCATATCACAGTAAAATATTCTGTATGTGACCACATTATGGTGATCCTTGGGTCGTGATGATGGAGCCCTTGAATATTGTTGCCCAGGGTACAACAAAGTGTTAATCTGGCCCTGGTTCCGCCGTCACATTCCCGCAGAAACTGGTTGATCACACCGGGGCCAGACTACTAGCATGTGGTTTTACAACCACAATGTCCTCGGAAGCAAAAACGCTTTTAAAAGGGAGGGAGGAGTCCTAACTGTTGCTGCAGGCGTGTTGTGTGAGAGTGCAGTTATATACTGGTTAATATATTTTTGGGTTCAGTTGCTTTCATGTGGCCTAATGTGAGTCTATTTGGGATCATTGGAATGATCAGCAGCATTTCTTGATGTGACTTTATGGCAGTTGCCCAGGGCATCATCGCAAGGAGGATGGCATTCATTTACTTTTGTTTTATTTGGTATTTTTTCAGTCAGTTTTGGAAATAGTGATCAATTTTGATTAATTCACAGCCTATGTTTAATTACATTTAAAATAAATGTTAACAGATGAGATCAAACAAAACAGATGAGAATTGCCCTTAAGCTGTTTAACTTGGACCAAGCATTTTAGGTCACAGATAGATGTAGCTTAGGGTCTCTGTCTATACACCTTATAAGACAATTTAGGTGATGGCATGTTGTTTTTCTGCTATTGAACTGTTTTCTAATAATGTTGTGTTAAATAAAGTGAAGGAAGGAGAGAAATAACGTTTCCCTAGCAGTTTTAAAAATTTTCCCCATGTAATCCGATTAATCGATTAATCGTGTCGAGACCCCATCCGATTAATCGATTATCCAAATAATCGTTTGTTGCAGCCCTAGTTCCATGTCCCAAAAACTAGTTTTCTTGTCCGGGGATTGGACCGCCAAGGCTCCCGCCTTGGTCTGCCACCCGATT